CTTCACTAAAACTACAAAAAAGGGAGTTTTTGAAAAGTCATAAACTGGAACACCTGGGTGGCTCAGTGGGTGAGCATCTGTCTTTGGCTCAGGTCCTGATCCCAGTGTCCTGGGATCAAGTCCCGTATCAGGCTCCCCTGCAGGGAGCCTGCTTATCCCTCTGCCTGTATCTCTACCTCTCTGTGTTCCTCATGAATAAATAAATTAAATTAAATTAAAAAGTCATAAACTCCTAATGATACAGAGAACAGAAGAGGAGACAACAGCAATGCAATTCTGAATGCTGGAAAGCAGGTGGGCAGTGGTGACTGAGTTAGCACACCCAAGCAAGCTGAAGTTCCAAGTCAGCAGTGGGGAGAGCTGAGAACCAACCCAGGAAAGACCAGGGGGAAACAGAAAATTAGAGGCAGGGGCAGGGGGCGCTTGGGTGGTTCAGGTGTCTGACTCGATTTCTGCTCAGGTCTCGATCTCAGGGTTGACAGGTGGAACCTGGAGTTGGGCTCCATGCTGAGCGTGAAGACTGCTGAGGATTCTCTTTCTGCCCCTCCCTGCTCCCTCTCTAAAAAAATAAAATATTGGATGCAGATAGCAATGGAGGAATATCTTCAAAATTCCGGAGGCAAATTATTTTCAACTGAAATTCTATTACCAGAGAAAGTATCAATCAAGTGTGAGTATAGAACCAAAACATATTCAGACAGGCAAGGTCTCTGAAACATGTGACTCTTCTTGTCAAGAAGTTACTAGCGTCTAAGTACCACTAGGGAGTATAACTAAAAAAAAAATTAAAAAAGAGAGAGAGAGAGAATACAGGATACAAATTTCCAGTTATAAATAAGTCTGGAGATGAAAAGTACAGCACAGGGAATAGCGTCGATAATATAACTCTGTATGGTGACAGGTGGTAGCTACATTTATTGTGGTGAGCCCTGAGTAATGTACAGAATTGTCAGACCACTATGTTGTGCCCCTGAACTAATGTAACATCGTATGTCATACTTCAATAATAAAAATATTTTTTTTTTAGGAGAGAGAGAATCTAGGGGCACCTGGGTGGCGCAGTGGTTGAGTGTCTGCCTTTGGCTCAAGGTGTGATCCTGGGGTCCTGGGATCGAGTCCCTACATTGGACTTTTTGCAAGGAGTCTGCTTCTCCCTCTGCCTAGGTCTCTGCTTCTCTCTGTGTCTCTCATGAGTAAAAGTAAAAGTAAAAATAAAAATAAAATAGAGAATCCAGGGTATAGGAAAGATCCAACCCAGGAGAGCTAAAGAGAATCCAGCTGTGCCCCAGACAAGGAGGCTAACCAGGCCAGATTGAAGTAGTGGTAACTTGAGACAGACATGCCCCAGCTGCTCTACCAGCCTTTTAACCTGAGGACTGAATGCCCCGAAACCTGGCCCAGATTCCTATCTGTACTCAGCTGGGCTTGGCTTGATCTTGATCATATGGTGATAAAGCTCCTGCTCGCCTTCCAAGCCCTGCAGCTGCACCAGCAGAGGACATTCACTTCCTTCACAGAAGGGTTCTGCTTTGACCGACCCTGCTAGCTGCAGGCTGGCCACGTGAGCTAAAAAGCAGAAAATACAAAATGCGAAGCAGCCTACCCTCTCATTTATGCTGTCCGTCCAGTACCGGCACACCTCGGAGATATTACAGATTTGGTCACAGACCGCAGCAATAAAGTGCATATCCTAGTAAAGTGAGTCAGAGGAATTTTTTTGTTTCCCAAGAGCTTATGAAAGTTATGTTTACACTATATTGTTGTCTACTGAGTGTTAACAGCACTGTGTCTAAAAAAAAAAAAAAAAAACGATGTACATACTTTAAAAATACTGCATTGCTAAAAATGTTCATCTGAGCTTTCAGCAAGTCATACGGATCACCATAACAAATATAATAATAAACAAGTTTGAAATATTGCAAAAATTACCAAAATGTGACACAGAGACAGGAAGCGAGTAAATGCTGTTGGAAAAATGGTGCTGATAGGCTTGCTCCCCACAGGGCTGCCACAAGCCTTCAATTTATTAAAAAACAGATAAATAAATAAGGCAGTATCAGCAAAGCACAGTAAGACAGTGTGCCTGTACGTGATCCACTCTAGAGCCTTCCAGAAGCCCTTACTGTGGTGAACCCCATTTCCTAGGACTCACTCATAACACTACCCACTAACTTCCTCAGAAAGGCCTCCTGTAAACAGTCAGGCAAGCTGAAGCCATTCTGTTCTGCTCATCTCTTCCTGGAAACCTCCATCCAATAGTGACAAAAACGTCCTTTCCTTACACCATCAGGTCTGTGCTTACAATTATGAAACAAAATTTTAATCTCAAATTTAGAAAGCTCTAGTATTTTCTAAGAAGCCTGTTTGGAGTTCAGCTGCACTCTGGGGGAAAAAATTAATAATTAATTAATTATAATGAACTATAATTAATAATAACTAATTATTAATTTAATGGAAAAGACACAGTTTATTAGTCCTGTAAGATTTAACTGTAGAAATTAATAAGGTGTTATGATTTTTCTAGCCTGGTAGAAAAGAGTAATTCCAAAGGCATGATGATTTTGCTGCTGTGTGGAACATTAACTGATTATATCTAACTCGGCAATTTTGTTCAGACATTCTTTTTCCTTGTGGACTACATATGTTCCTTAAATTATCTTAAAAAACCAGTTTTAACTGTAACAGTTAAAACTTTGCAACATGCTCATTATCTATTTGCATGAGAATTTTGTTTTAAAACTGTTCATTCAGGGGATCCCGGGGTGGCTTAGCAGTTTAGCACCGCCTTCAGCCTAGGGCCTGATCTTGGAGTCACCAGATCGAGTCCCACATCTGGCTCCCTGCATGGAACCTGCTTCTCCCTCTGCCTGTGTCTCTGCCTCTCTCTCTCTCTGTGTCTCTCATGAATAAATAAATTAAAAAAATCTAAAAAAAATAAAACTGTTCATTCAAAACCAAATACATTGGTAGGATGGGTATGTGTGTATGTGTCTGCTGTGTGTGTGCACTAATTATATGTGTAAATATATATGTATATGTGTATATTTGTGTATATATGTGTCAAGCTTATTTTATTTTATTTATTTATTTTTGTAAGGCTTATTTTATTTATTTTTTTTTCATTTTTTTTATATATTTTTTTTAATGATAGTCACAGAGAGAGAGAGAGAGAGAGAGAGAGAGAGAGAGAGGCAGAGACACAGGCAGAGGGAGAAGCAGGCTCCATGCACCGGGAGCCCGATGTGGGATTCGATCCCGGGTCTCCAGGATCGCGCCCTGGGTCAAAGGCAGGCGCCAAACCACTGCGCCACCCAGGGATCCCCCAATGTAAGGCTTATTTTAAAAAGCAAGAGAAAGATTAACAAATCAGAATAGAGGCCATACCTCAGAAGTAGGATGGGAATGTTTTCTTTTCTTTTTTTTTTTAAGATTTTATTTATTTATTCACGAGAGACACAGAGAGAGAGGCAGAGACACAGGCAGAGGGAGAAGCAGGTTCCATGCAGGAAGGTGCTTACCACAGGACAGAAAGTACACAAAGTTTGTTCACAGATCTCTTCCTGAAGGCCTTCTCTATTTATTTCTACCAAGCCAATCAAATGAATGAATATAACCTTAAAGTCAACACCAATTAAGTGGAAACAAAAATTTACCATTATTTAACCTGGTCTTCAAAATTTTCTTGATCCAGTATCCAGTCTCCAAACATAAAACATAAAACACAGATTCTAAGAAATGCATTTAGAACAAACTGAGCTACTGCCTTTAAATCATAAAATCTTTTAAGTTATAAAAACGATTCCTGGTGAAAAAGGCACTCAAATTATACCAAAGAACAACAATCTGTTTACGTTATCTACCTGAAACTTATCCTACCTACAATGGCAAAGGGATTTTCATGGCAACAAGACTTTTAACAGCTAAAATCCAGAAACAACCAAATGTCAGTCAGTAAAGGATCAACAAAATACATGAGAGCACATGTAAATAATGGTATAGGATGAAGCATTCTAAAAATGAGGTAGATCCACACACATACAGATACGGAACCATGTCTGATATTATAAGTCAACTGCCCAACAGCTATGGGATGGTCCCCTCCTAGGCAATGGATCTGAAGATATAAAGGATTGAAAGTGAACAAGGAATTCCCACTTTTTACCTGATACAGTTTGGTGTGCCGTTTGAACTTTTCACTTGGATTTTCTTCTGTCATGTCAAAAAAAAATTTAATAACCTAGATATATTACTGCTATCACTTAAAAGTAGCAAGTAAGGATAAACTTTTACCTTGGACTCCAGAAGTGAGTTCATTAAAGACAGAAGGGGAAGGCTGCGGTAATCCTAGTGGGCAGAGGATGGGGGCCCGGGCAGGCCGGGCGGGGCGGGGCAGGGCGGGCGTGTCTCCGGAAGAGGAAAGTCTCATTAAACCTGCTTTTCCTGCAGCATCAGTATTGGAGATAACTTTTGATTTTCGGTTTAAGAGCCGAGAGTCTTGCAACACTATTATTACCGTAAAAAAAATGTTTAACGTTTGTTCTACGTTTGACACCTAAGAGGATTTGAAACACGACAGAGGACAAATAAGAGACTTAAGAGGATGGACAAGAAGTGTGACCAGCCTGGGAGTAAGAGCCTTGGGAATTGTTAAGAAAAGGGAAAAATCACTGGGGGCACCTGCGTGGCTCAGTGGTTGAGCGTCTGCCTTTGGCTCAGGTCGTGATCCCGGGGTCCTGGGATCGAGTCCTGCTTCGGGCTCCCCAAGGGGCGCCTGCTTCTCTGTGTCTCTCGTGAATAAATAAATAAAATCTTAAAGAGAGAGAGAGAGAGAGAGAGAGAGAGAGAAGGGAAATCACGGTACCGGTGCACGAAGAGTTTGAGAGAAGAGGTGGGATACTCCGAGAAATCAATGCCTTTGGGAGGCATGATGGTGATCACACATTTACTCCAATCGGAGGTTTGACTCCCGTCCACAGACGGACAGACAGGCACACGCTCACCCGGCACAGTCGACCCCGTCATCGCGGCTTTGGCTTTATAAAGGTCACGTACTCGCATCGGAGATGAAGCATCTTTCCAGGGATTACCTCGGAAGCCAACGTATTGCTTAAAAACACCAAAAACGGTTTCCCCCAGCACAACTACCAGCGCTACGGGGCGGGGGGGGGGGGGAGGGCAATTCTCTGCGGCTACACCCTAAAAGGACACTCGACGCTCGAGGGTTAATTGTCAAAGGAATGCTGAGCCCCGGACATCGCCTCTTCCCCGCTCTGTACCGGCCTCTCCCAAGGGCCGAGCCGGGAAAGTCCAGGGATCGCCGACCACCTTCCCACCCTCGGCTGGGAGCAAACCCGAGGGGCGCCGAGGTACTGGGGGCCCGGACCCCCGCCCCCCCGCCCCCCCGCCCCCCCGGCGACGCGGCGGCTCCCCGCGCGGCGAGGCCTCGGTCGGCCCGGGGGCACGCGCGGGCGGCGGGGGGCGGGGGACCGGGGGGCGGGGGACCGGGGTCCGCGGGCCCGATCCGCCGGGCGGCGCCGGGCGCGGCACAGGGAGGCCGGGCGGGCGCCGCCGCACCGCGCAGGCCCGGCCGGCCGGGGGCGCCTCTCCGCGCGCGGACGACGGGCGCGACCCCCCCCGCCCCGCGCGCCGCGAGACCTGCCCACCGCACTCACCTGGCCGCCGCGACGCCCACGCCGCCCCCGAGCGCGCGCGTCCGCCGCGCCCCACCTCGGTGCCCGGGAGCCGGGAGCGGACGGCGCGCGCGAGGCGAGGGGCGCCGGCGGGGCGCGGCGCCGTGCGCACCGCGGCGACCAATCGGCACGCAGCAAGTGGCCGAGGGGGCGGGGCGGGGCGCCAGGGGGCGGGGCGGGGCGCCAGGGGGCGGGGCGGGGCGCCAGGGGGCGGGGCGGGGCGCCAGGGGGCGGGGCGGGGCGAGGGTTCCGGGAGCTGCCGGCTGCCCGCGCGCTGGGATTCGCGGCCGCGAAAACGTGATCCGGGGTGCTGCCGTCCTGCGGACCGCGGCTGGGGCGCGGCTCCCGCCGCTGGGTTTCTGCTCGCGGAGCTCAAGTGCAGCACCCGTGAAATCACGCGCTCGGAGGGCACCCAAGACCCAGAGGGCAGGCACTCTGCCTCCAGGCCCCGCGGCGTCGGCCGCTGAGCTGCCCAGAGGAGGGCAAGTGCTGCCGAAAGGGGAATCTCAGGACCCGAGGGTCTGCAGGGATGCCCTTTGCTAATGCCACCGCTCAGAAAGGGAGGCCCAGAAAAGTGAAGTTCCTCGTCCGAGGCTATCGGCTAGCTCTGTTAACCCGAGGTAACCAGCACAGGACAACTAGTCTTCTAATTCTTTTTTTTTTTTTAAGATTTTATTCATTTATTCATGAGAGACACAGAGAGAGAGACAGAGACAGAGAGAGAGAGAGAGAGAGAGAGAGAGAGAGAGGGAGAAGCAGGCTCCATGCAGGGAGCCCGACGTGGGACTCAATCCCGGGACTCCAGGATCACACCCTGAGCCAAAGGCAGGCACTAAATCGCTGAGCCACCCAGGGATCCCTACTCTTCTAATTCTGTCCTGAGGCTTTTCCAGGGATCCACCCAGACTTTTGGCTTCCTCAGAGTCAGGTCTCTTCCAACGCCCTCCTTTAAAAACATCTTGTGGTGCGTGGCGGGCTCATTCGGTAGAGGATGCGACTCGGAGTCATGAGTTCAAATCCCCATCTTGCGTGTAGAGCGCACTTAATAAATAAGAAAATGTGGGCGTCTGAGTGGTTCAGTGGGTTAGGCGTCTGCCTTCTGCGCAGGTCATGATCCTGGAAGCCCAGGATGGAGCTGGCATCAGGCTCCCTGCTCAGCGGGATTCTGCTTCTCCCTCTGTCCCTCCTTGGCTCCTGCTGTCTCTCAAATAGATAAATACTATCTTTAAAATAAATAAAAATAAAGACACTGCATCTCAAGCTTTCAGCATGACTTCACCATCTTTTGAAAGCCCCATCGAAATTTCCTACAGGATATCAAACGCCATTCAGTTGTTTGGAGGAAAAGACACTGTAAATCCAGGTATTATAAATAGAAATCTTTTTTTTTTTTTTTTTTTTTTATGATAGTCACACACAGAGAGAGAGAGAGAGAGAGAGAGAGGCAGAGACACAGGCAGAGGGAGAAGCAGGCTCCATGCACCGGGAGCCTGACGTGGGATTCGATCCCGGGTCTCCAGGATCGCGCCCTGGGCCAAAGGCAGGCGCCAAACCGCTGCGCCACCCAGGGATCCCTATAAATAGAAATCTTAAAAAGTTTTTACTTTGGGTATGATGAAAAAAGAAAGGTTTTTTTTTTTTTTTGTGCCCACTTATCACAAAATGTCATCCTCTTCTTCCTGCTACTCCTAGAGATGTTATGCATGTAGGAGGAAGAATCATTGCTTTATTTTCCCACTATCCCTCAGTTCCCATTTTCATGGGTACTATTTTTCTTTTATATTTGTCACTTGGCAAGTAATACATTTACATTATCCATCATTCTGATACATGCGTTAGGATCTAGTGCTGAATAAATATTTGTTGAATTACTTACTTTTGAAATATGTGCAACCTTAAAACTAGTCAAATCATATAATTTATAAAACGTATTAGCTTATGAAAATTGACTTTTTAAAAATAAGGTTTTATTTTTTTAAGATTTTATTTATTTATTCATGAGAGACACAGAGAGAGGCAGAGACACAGGCAGAGGGAGAAGCAGGCTTCATACAGGGAGCCTGATATGGGACTCGATCCAGGGACTCCAGGATCATGCCCTGGGCTGAAGGCAGACACCAAACTGCTGAGCCACTGAGGCTCAAGAACAAGGTCCCAATAACAAGGTTTTAGATCTTGCTTCTCTTTTTCTTTATTCTATTAGGATTAAGTTTGCCTGCACATAACATGGGAGAGCAACCACAAAATAACAGTGGTGTAAACAAAAATAGTATTTCCCTCTTATGTTTAAAAAGTCTAAAGTTAGTCTAGAGCCCATCTGATACTTCATGGAGACAAATCCAGCCTCATTGTTCCACCAAGAGAGTCACACATGTATTTATGTATGCTTTCAAAGATAACAGGCATTTGGAAGATATCTGGTTCTACTCCCAGTATCACCTCATGATCTAAGAGAGCTGCTGTAGCTCCAGCCATTATGCTTGCATTCCAACTAGCATATACCACTCCTGCTTTCATCCTGCTGGCAAAAACATAGTCACTTTGCTAAACTAAATGTCAAGAAAGGCTGGAAAACGAAAATAGGGCTTTAGTACTGAGAAAGAATGGATAGGTAGGAGTTCCTATCATAGTGTTAAATCTCATCACTTTTTAAGGTATTAAGTATTTTAAGATTTCCCCAAAATTGTTAAAGCTTCTTTTACAGAAGAATATCTTTTTTTTTTTTAAAGATTGTATTTATTTATTCATGAGAGACACAGAGGCAGAGGCAGAGGAAGAAGCAGGCTCCATGTAGGGAGCCCAATGGAAGACTCGATCCCGGCACTCCGGGATCATGCCCTGAGCCAAAGGCAGATGCTCAACCGTTGAGCCACCCAGGCGTCCCTACAGGAGAGTATCTGTAAGAAAATGCTTAGCAGCATGTTCAAAGGAAGATGGTACTGTTGACCTGCCCTTAGGATGTGCATGCTTTGAGTTACTCTTCCAGAAATGAGTGGGGACTCACACTAATGCAGCTAGCATCTCTGTCATTCTGTAACCTCTATTTTACAAAGAGTATATATATTTACATATATAAAGTATATATATACTTTATAGTATACATATATAAAAGTATATATATATATAGACACTCTGAAATATATATATATATACTTTGAAAATATGGGCATTTGAAATGTATTGGGATTAAGTTACTGATGCCAAAATTTCAATGTCATCATTTCAAATGCACTGATTTGAGTCTTTAGTAAAATTGCAAATCAGTTTAAACAAATCTTCACATCTGCCCTGATTCAGTTGGTATTCCATCATGTAGCTACCTAAGCATGTTTTCTTAAATACTTATTCTGTAAGAACTTCAGAGAGGCCCTCCTAGAATCTGGAGTCTCTATGACTTCAGGACCTTTTCAGGTTTGAGCCAGGACAGTTCCATAAGGCTGCTTCACCTAAAATTAGACAGGTAGATTCCAGTCTGGTGGGTTCAAACCTACTAAGAGAAAGGAACAATCCAAGCTGTCCTTCACACTAGGACTTGCAGGTTCTGGTTTGTTCTTATTTTCTTAAGGCTGTTTCATGAACTTACTCTGATAAAGTGGCATTCAGTCCTCATCTTTTGAAAGTACACACCTGGGGCACCTGGGTGGCTCAGTGATTGAGCATCTGCCTTTGGCTCAGGTCGTGATCCTGGGGTCCTAGGACTCCCCACAGGGAGCTTGCTTCTCCCTTTGCCTGTGTCTCTGCCTCTTTCTCTGTGCTTCTCGTAAATAAATAAATAAATAAATAAATAAATAAATAAAGTCTTTAAAAAAAAAGTGCACACACAATGTGTAATGCAGAAACTGAAAGACTAAAGCTTAATGTGTAAACATGTACTTCTGAAAATATTGTCACTTCCTCCATAAAGTTAGGGGGTTGTGTAACAAAAAGATTTTGCGTAAGTCAGTAGAACTGTTGTATTTGGATAAAGCTATCTTGAAATTAAGATCACATTCCTATGGATCCGAAATGACCCTCTCTCAAGAGTATGGATATTCAGTGCCAATCGTTTGGGAGAAAGATTGGTCTTTAGATGGGAAATGAAACCAAAGTTTGGAGGGTCATGTGATACAGGCAGGAGAGGAGACATTTCTTTCTGCAATCTAGACTGTTGATGGCAGTGGCTTCGTCTATCAATTGGCTCCTTCAGTTGCAAGGAACAAGAAAAATAATCTCAAACTGGCTTTATAGAATAGTAAAAAACAAAACGAAAACAAAAAACCTAGTTTTTTTCTATTAAAGATTATTTATTGAAAAAAAAAGAAAAAAAATAAAGATTATTTATTTATGTATTTATAATTTATTTATTTATTTATTTATTTGAG